GTGTGAAGACCACAGATGGACTTCTAGCATCAAGTCAAATTATGAAGTTATTCAAACATTGGTTGATGACCTATGTACCTAAATCCCATTAGCCCCTTGCTGTACTTTGTGTTGAGTGCTAATTCAAGTAAGCTAACATACAAAAAATACCAAATATAACTTGTTAAAAATGTAAGCATTGCCATTGTGAGCATGTTAGCATACAGGTTTAACATTTAGCTGAAAAACTGCTTCCTCAAAGGACTGCCTCACAGACACAGTTGCATGGCTGTCGACTATTAGTATTTCTAGTTGAAACATTTCTTGTATTTCCATTGGCTTATACTGAGTTGTGGCACCGTATTCTCTTATCGGTTTTATAAACAGAACATTTCTAAACGTGGTAAAAGATGTGGATTTTCATTATCAAACTAAAACCTAGTCTGATTTGTCATGTAAAAAAACAAACAGTGTCTCTTTCAATGCATGGATGATTCAAATGTCATGTTTTAGTTCTTATAGGACAAGTAACTCACTTAAATCACACCCTTCACAAAGTTCCTCAAAAAGAGTTTACATTTTTCAGTGTGCTCTTTCCAGGGTTTCCTCAAGGTCACTTGTTATAGGAAATACTTAAACTAACAATCACTAAAAATAAGGCATCTAACTAGATACTGTGTGCAAGACATGCACATGGTGAACCATCTGTCTTTATCTGCTTAAATATTTTACCTTTCTTTTAAAGTCAGTGAACTCACATACAAGCACCAAATCCCAAAGAAGTCATTGCATGAGTTAAGGCCCAAACTGCATCATCTACAAAAGAGAAGTTCATGCTGAGGCTCCATGTGGCAAATGTAGACCAACGTTGACTGTGAGAAAGGAAGAATCAAGAGTGAAAACTCGAGCGGCTTTGCTGTAACTGCTCTTCCCCATTCTGTCGAGTTGAGGTTAGCTCAGCAAACAGTTTGCCCTCAGTAACACTTCTTTTCCGGTACCCACCTCAAGCTTTGACTCAAAAGAACGATTAGTGCAAAAGATTACGAAGTCACTTTGAATCATACATGATGAGAGGCAGAGGAAGAGAGGGAGAGAGAGGCTGAGAAAAAGTTGACAGGGGGAGTTGCTGATGTTAAGGACGCGTTTTTCAGGGAGGTACTGACCTAGCCACCTGTTAGATCACGAACACGTTTTTCAGTGAAAGCGTTGAGCTGTGAGACAGAAGAGGGAGCACGTTAGGTGATACTTTGTAGATTCCTGATGGCCTCTGGTCCTGGGGAACAGCCACCAGCGCTGCCTGTTAAACAGCACAGGTAAGAAGAACAAATAAAACATTTTGTCTTTTAGAGACTGTATTCATTTCTAATTATTCTACAGATTCTAATACCTGTTTTTATATCAGGTCTTATAGTCATATGATCCGTGTTAAAATAGCCTAAAACATGAGGACAGAAGTAGCACTGTCATAAACTACACCACAGAAAAGATAAGATACACTTCAGATATATTATTTGCATACTGAACATAACATTGGATAGCATTTGCAGTCTGTGTTCTCACTGTGCATATAGTCATTGTGTAAAGGGTAAATGTTTTTGTTAATCTGTGCATCTTCTGAAAAAGGAGCCATTCATCCAGATTCTCCAGCCTGGAGTCCGACTCTGTTCTGCTCAGTCCTGGTGGACCAAACTACACTTACACTGATGTCTTTCCCGAAGCCCCTGACTGTCATGCTGCACAGTGCCCCATACACCAGCAATATGGTAGGACGAAAGAATAATGAAATAAGTTCAAGTGAAGGAAAGACGTTACAAGCACTAAATAATATTTAAAAACAATTCTACAGCTGGTGCACACAGCTCATTGTGATGGGAGAATACACTAGTGAGACTATGATGTGAAGTTCATCTTTCTCAGTTCTTGTTTCCAATGAAAAGAGGACTGAAAGAGAGAACTTTTTGTGTTTACTATTAAGGCAAGGCACAATGACTTTCATTACATTCAGACAAACTTCTTCATTCCCCTCTGGATTCTGATCCCCTTTTTTTTCCCTCCGTAGACTCTATGTCTAAACTGCCGTATGTTTATCTGTCTTGCTCCCCTCCCATTTCTGACTTTGATTATTCTTCTTGTGTTTCTTAGATCCCTTCCAACACCAGGTGAGATTTTTCTCTGATGGCAACCCTCCACCTGTCCCAAAGAAGAGGCTAGCTCGCACCCTCTCCCTCCCTGAAACCCATGCACCTCCTCTTTCTTCTCGTCTTCATCTCCAAAGACAACCGCAGAACTTTGACAACCCCCTGTACATGCTGGCCCCCATACCTGACACCTATTTCCATGGGGTGACTGAAGAGTTTCAACCAGTCAGAGAGAGTCCTGTCCCCTTTTTGACCCTCTCCCAGCTGTCCTTCGACACCCCTGATAAACATCTGCCCTACCTCTTTGGCAGCTTTGACGATCAGAGGGCAGTTTTTCAGGAGATTCAGCTTCGCCAGCTACTTTTTTTGAGAAGTACTGTGCAGAGCGTGGAGGCGGAGATCCTGCTGCAAAATGAGGCCACAGAGGTGGATGTCAGCTCTTTCCAGCCTGAGGATTTCCTGCTGTGTGAGGGCAGCAAGCCAAAGCAAATCGGAGACACAGTTTACTTCAGCCTGCACAGCCCCAAACTCCCAGGGAGGGTGCTTGGTTTGAGGGTAATGTTACAGCTCTTTAAATGACTTCACATATTTAAATGACATTCTATAAGCATAACCATCTTTTGCTGTAGTCTAGCATTAGTTGCAGTAAGGTTGTATTTGCAAAAATCTGTGAAATGCACATTGCACACGGCAACCAGTAAAAAAAACATGATCGTTATCAACTTTGGCAACGATGACACTGCCTTGTGGTACCATAAACACTTCCTCTAAACTGTCATCAGGTGTCACAGCCACAACAGGAAGACCAGACCTACATTTTTTCATTTTTAACACATGATTGTGTCTGTTTTACTTGCATCTTTCTTCGCAGGTTCACCAACAGACGGATGAATGCTCCTCAGCTCACACCAAACATCAGCCATCTCATGTCAATGTGCGAGATGTTATTGCTCATTTCCAACCAAGAAACGCACAGAGAACTGATTGCAGTGAATTACAAACTCAAGACCCCTCTTGTTCTCTAAAGTCAGACTCTAATGCCGCTAGAACATGCCGAGACAGCACTGAGTTTGCCACAGATTGTATGAACATTAATCTGTGCTCAGTTCAGTCTTTCCTCCAGAAAGGACACCCAGTGAGCGTTGAGAGAGACCTGCCAAACGCCACACTAGAAGACTTTGTTCAGGAGAGTCTCTCACTTCAAAGTGAGGACTGTTTGGATTATGATAGGCAGGTATGTGTTTTGTTAGTGCAGGTGTTGATAGGCTTGCAACATCTGTACATTAGTGGGACTGCAGCTGAACTCAGACCTCAGGAGGTCCTTTTAGTGTGGTCCAACAGAGAGAAGGAAGAAAGTGCTTCAGGAGTCAAGAGAGGTTGCAGAACAAATGAGGTGGAGTGGGAAAAGACGCCGGGTAAAGGAACAATCCAGATGTTATGGAGGACATGCGGAAACCCTCGTGTAGTTTTAACCCCACTATCTTCTTCTCTTCCAGTATCTCATCTGCTCACTTACATCAAATCCCGAATCATAGCCCTTATTCAATACTGCCTCAACTCACAAGAGTCGGCCACATCCTCATACCGAACAGGGCTACTTCATCTGTCCTCTCTGCTCCAGAGTGAGCAAAGCGCTCCACAGCTGGCAGACATGGTGGTCATGCTCCAGGTGATCCTCTGGGGACCATGTGTCCCACTCTTTGATCGCAGAGGATCTGTGACGACCACTGTACACAACTGGCTGACGGTCAAGCGAGCCTTGCTGTTGATGAAGTTGGCCGAGAGAGGGCTGATCCAGGACCGGTCTGGTCTGGACTGGGAGGACTGTATGTGCTTGCAGTACCTGTCATTTATAGATCCTGAGATAATTGTGAGCATGGCCAGTCAGCTTTGGCTCACTGTGAACTTGGAATGACATTCGTTGTCAATGTATAAAAATTTGAAGTCCATCTAAATAGAAATTGTTGTTTTGATAATTCTTAGGTAGTTGAAGGTTTATACCCCAAAGTGCTCAAAATGTACAATTGTCAACAACATATCAATAAATTGACCTCTGAATGATGTGTGCACTGATTTTGCATCCTTCTTTAACATTTCTTGCAACTGACTAATATACATGATTCAATCTTACATAGACTATTTTCTTTAAGAGTCACATAAATCTTAGTAATTTATAAGATTTGGGGTTTTTTCTCGATGGTTTGAAGAGGCAAGACAAAAAAATAGGTACATGTTCCCATGTACCAATCAGGGTTTGAATACGAGCATCAAAAACGCCAGTCTGGGTGAAGTCAATAGCAGACTTATTAAACTCTAAACAATAATTAACAAGATCCATATTGTCGCCTGTTTTCTCATGAATAGGTGTAACAATTGAACTGAGAGTTGTAGATGAAGACCTTAAAACCAGGTTTTCAAGTGCTTGAAGACACCTACCGTTTCAAAATTGGTTGTCGTATAGTTGCTTTGCTTGTCCCACCTGAATTCAATACAAGCATGATGATGGACCAATAATGTTATTGGTAATCAAAGGACAAACACTCTGCTGTTTAAAACGGCTGGATTGAGATGAAATGTATTCTCACTGAAGAGACAGGACTGCAGAGGTGAAACAGAAATAATTTCCTCAAAATGTCCAGTGCTCGTTTAAAGACTGCTAATTAGCAACATGCTAAATTCAAAGAGAAAAAGTAAGAAGGCAGTGGGATGCAGCCATAGAGGTTATATGACAGCTAACTACCGAACTTGGCTTCAATGTTTTACTAAAGACTTTAATTTCCTCGTAGTAATACAACCTCAAATGTTCCTTTGCGGCCTCCTGATACCTTAACTAAAACAGGCTGCAGGTTTGTATGACTTCACATAAGCACGGACGCCACAAAGTAAGGTGAGCTCTTTTATTTAGTACAGTTACAACATGCAGATTTCTATCAAGTCAATCAAAGCAACAATTGAAAATCATGCACACATTACAAATTTAATAAAAACAGGAAAATCAAATGATAATTACTATGCAAACCATACCTACTTACATAAGTAAGATGAATTTAGATTTATCATAAATATCACACTGTGGAGATGATCACCTGTGGGGGGAGGGGGGGGGGGGGTATCAGAGGACATCACTACACATCATGGGGAGTAATACAGTGGTGAGGACACAGTGCCCGGATATAATAAGGGCGTTTGCTCTACATTCCTGGTATGTTAACATCTTAACCCTAGTGCAATTATCACTGAAACACAGCACATGATAGGTAAAGGTAAAACACAAAGAAATCTCTGACAGGAAACCTCAACTGTACTTAACTCGGATAATATATACCTTTTCAAGAAATGATAAAGATGTGTGGGTATGGATTGGAATAAGAAGCAACATTTTGTTTTACTGCTCAGCCTCTTTTAATCATCATCAGAGGAGTCTCGCTCGATGCTGTAAGCCATGAAGAAAGCGTCAGGGCGGGAGGGGACGAGGGGATGACCCGGTCTCACAATCTCAAAGCCCAGGAAACTGAACGTACGGAGCAGGGGAGCTGAGGAGAAACAGGATGACAACACGTTTATATTTCAAAGACTCGATACAGAAAGTACAATGAACTGTACTGATTGAGTAAATTCATGACAGAGGTCAAAGGACGGTCAGGCATGCTTTGTAATGGTTGACTCTGGACTTTGGATTTAGGCATGCTAGATTAAAATAGACAACTAGTGAAACAGTGCATTAGTCTGTTATACTGTTAGTGGGTCAGGTGTAGCTTAAAGTTACAATTGTGCTGTTTGAACATCAACTTTAAAAAGGTGTGGGAACATTTTCTAGAATACTTTAAGAGCTCTACTTTAAAATCTCCCACTCTCTTAGAGTTTACACTTTGTCTCTGTTCATAACTGTCAATCATGTGATCTCAATCTTTTTTTCTTTTCACTTTCTTTTACTTGCCTACTTATTTTTCTTCCCATTTTCATTTCTAAAAACATAACCTGACTTCCAGCCCCCTGCCTGTTTTATCAGAATGAGACTTAAAGCAGTACGAGACACCGTCAGGAGATGGGGATTGAAGGAGGAAGAGGAAGTAGGACATTGATGGAGCCTGTTTCTTTTTTACATTATACAGTTAACCCAACATTTTTTTTAATGTGTAAAGTTCCTCATTTTACTTCACAGTGCTACATTGGATCAAACTAAAGGAGTGCCTGTTTCGTCCGGTCCACACAAGATTCCAATTTCAGGTTTAGATTCTGACTTTCTCAATGAACCTCCACATGAATTATTGAAGTCTACAACGTGTATGCCCATGAGTGATACTTTCAAAACATATCTCATCGCATTTCCCAAATGCTTAACTATTGAAAAAAACAAACTTAAAACAAAAATTAAATCAAGCTACTTTTGTTATAAGAATGAGCCGTTTAAAGGCTTTATATGCGATTTTTTGATCCAGCAGATGTCGCCCTTGAGCACCAGCATGAAACCAAAACAACTTGCGCTGCATTGTTGTGTTAGCATGCTAATGTTAGTGATCTTTATTATGCTCGTATCTTCACACTGCATGTAAATTTACCTGAAATGAGCGTGATCTAGAAACACAGTTAAGCAGTGAGTACAGTATGTTATTCTTCTTTTCTCTAGTCCCTCAATTAAACAACTTTTATACGCAAGGTGATGAGTTGTCCGGCTGTCCAGGCGATGTAAACAAACTGAAGATAGGACTCGGAAAACATCACCGACAGTGGGACTCGGGTGTTACACACATTGTAGACAGTCATGACTCACAGAGTTATTTTCAGAGGCTATACTTGATTTCTATTATATTTAAGTGTGAAAAATTGCATATAAAGCCTTTAAGAAGCTAATAGACAAAAGTTCTCACCTCTATCTTCACGGTTCTTGTGGAAACAGATGAACACGTGATCAACCTGCAGCTGCTCTTCAGCAAATTCCAGCAGAAGGGCGAAACTGTGAAAAACAAATAGTGTTCATGTTTGACAGGAAGGACGTTAGTAAACTACAGAAGAGTTGTTGACATCCAGATCACACTAAAGTTTGAGGTCTATGACTTGACTCTCACATATTAACATTTGATAAATGGTTAGAAGTTTCAGAACAGCTCATCTACTCTGAGGGTTCGTCTTTGCATCCACATTCAACGACATCTTTTCACGTTTACTTTCATTTGCAGCAAAACAATAAACTGGGTGTCGTTTCATTCGGTCCATGAAATAATAATTAAAATATAAAATGTTTGAACAAAAGACTTGCAAAATGTTTTTATGTCTACAGACCTGTCTTTGCTGCCCTCGGGCAAAGCTCCAGGGGGGATCTCCACATAAAGATTCCCTCCTTTCAGCGCCGCCCTCCAGACACAGTGCTTGCCTTCAGAGCGACGGGGCTCGAAAAGCAAGAAGCGCACTCTACTGTTTGCAGGGGGGGGCTCCTCAAGAACCAACAAATGAGTATCCTACAGACAGAGAGAGAAGTGGGACGAGAACAATAAATTCACTAAGACAGATAAGGTTACAAATACAGGATACAGGAAAGGACATTAGTAAGAATTTAACACACCATCTGTAACTTTTCTGATTTACTGATAATGCAGAAGAACAGAATGATGAAAATGACAAAATTAATTAGAGATTTCAAAGTCACATTTTTAATTTAATACATTTCATCAAGATCACATAACTATGAACACCCGCTGCTCAGTCAAATACCCGAACATGTGATGCAGTAGAAAATAAAAAGCTTTAAGATCAAGTGCCTATGAGTCTAAAATCTGTTAATTTAAAAGAAACAAAAAAAACACTGCAACTGAAATATCTTAACACAAAAGCTTGAATGAGGTCAAACTGTGACATTATTCAGAACAGCTGCCTTTGTGTTTGTCTTTCAGTCAATAAGCTTTTCTTTCTGCGCTGTAAGGCCAAGGTTGGTCCAAACACAATCCTAACTAGAGAAGAGGAAAAGTGCTTCAAAAAATCAACTGTTGGTATTGACTTACAGAATAGAATAGCTTAGCTGAAAGATTGCGATCCCGCTGGTCATTCCCTCGCCCACCTGGGATCTTCAGGGGTGGGAGAGGGGCATCAGGAGCACCACAGAGGCCCCGGACACGGGTTACTGCAACAGCAGGAGCACCTCCTGGGACTGGAGATACTGGAATGTGAAACAAACGCACATATGGAAGGAGGCATTATTAGCGGTGAAGTCACGGGAGATTCTGCTACAATACAAAAACCAAACTGCAAATATAAACAGCTGGCTTAACAAACATTAACCAGCTGAGTTATTCATTTGTGAAAGAGTGAAACAGTTGCTTAAGGTCACGTTGCTTTAGTTCATTAACTGTCTGCATTTATACTCTGTGTGTTTGAAATCTATACTCAACATGTACCGACAGAGAGCAGGAGATGATGTGTCACTGGAACACATCACAGATGACTCATACAAAATGTCCCATCTTGTGTGTCACTTGTCAATCACATACTGACAACAACCCCACAGCCAGTCTTGCTCTATATCTGACACTGACAGACCACGTTCCTCATCACTGTCTCTTGTTTGTTGTAAGAAAAATTTAACTTCCTTTAACAGATCTGTGTGCCTTGGTTTCCGTTAGACAACTCCAGACTTGTCACATGATTCACAGAGGAGGGTCTGCCAGAGGAACAGGCTCAGTTTGTTTAACCATTAGCCTACATAAGCCCTCCTGCGTTGCTCCAGTTCACAACAGGCAGGAACAAACACCAGTTAAGCAAGTCAGATCAGCCATTTTAATTTAGAGGCCGGCTAATGTGCTCTATAGAATTAGCCTGGCTTGCTTACGCAGAAGTCTGTGTGTGTGTGTGTGTGTGTGACTGCATATATTTACAGTGTTAGGGAGTAAGCCTGTTCTCAAATCTTGTATATGGAACACAAGCAATTAGCAGAGGCAGCAGCACTTCCACAGCACACACACACTCGCAGATGCTCTCTTACGTAAATGTCACTGCTGTGCTATATGTGGAGCAGATGTGTGAAAACCATTGTCACTGCCATAATAACCTGGGCTGACCAAGTGAATACGTAACACAGAGCCTATTTGCCTGGTTGTGCAAGGCATTGGAGATATCCAACTAACACAGCTCGCCTAAATCCCATGATCTGATTACATAAAACAGCCAATCAGCATCTTCATATTTAGTGTTCTATGCCAAAAAAACAAACAAACACGTGATTTATTAACGCCTGCACCATTTTTTTTTAAATCCACATCTCCACAGCAGAAAGCAACACAAAGCACCCTGGTCACATGGTTCTTCAGCTTATGCTTGCGTAAGCACCTTTGCTAGGTACGAGCGACCTTCTAAACAAACACTCGTCTCTAAACAAATACCATGTTGTTAACATTAAGAAGGGCAGAGAAGATATTTCTGATGGACATCCTACTGTTATCTCAGCCTAATCTCAACGTGGAACATCATGTTATTAGCTTTGAATGACTCAGTTTGAAAGGACAACTGCTTATGTCGACCGAAAACAAGGCTGAAAGGTTCATATAACATAGTTCACACAATCTTCCATCAATCTATCATTAAAGTGTTGCATGAAAAACATCTCTGCTTTGATCATGAATATATAAACCCTTAGTTTGGACAGAAAGGAGGGGGGAAGTAGGGATCTATTAAACAGTAAACATCTATGTACAAAATGTCATTTTTGGACTCCACGCTCCTCACGCACCCCCCCCTCCCTCCCTCCCTTCAGTGTGCAGTGGAAATTTCCTACGAGTCCTTCACAACAGAGTGGCAAACAGCCTCGATGAAATTCTTGTCAGGACACGACGGATTTCGCTCGTTTCATGTGTCATATGATCCATATAAAAAGAATTCAAACCCTCTATGTTCGCATTTTACATTTCATCATCACATTCAGTCAAAAGAGGAAAAAAAATAAAACAAGTCGTCTTCTACAGTGTTTATTTTTAGATTAAAGCCCAGGGATTACCTAAAAGGTGAAAACGATATTGACTTTCTATCCAGTTTTAAACCAAATAAGAACATTAAATATTTGTAAGTTACATAATTAATGTCATTGTTAAAGAAGCTGTAAATTATCATTTTTTTCCTACGTTGTCTGGCGCAAACACAACTTTACATAACATTATGTAACTGTTCTGGACGCCCACGTACTGCTATAATCAGAATATAACCAAATAACCTTAATTTGGTTTACGGTGCAATTGCACAATCAAAAAAATAACATCGGCGGCAGAAGGAAAGCTTGGTAATCACGTTAGCCTCTATGCTAACATCTGTAGCAATCCCTGTAATCCCTCATTTACACTGAAGCACATTAATTAACTACAAAAATAATAATATGGCTACAGCTTGTCAAAAAAATAGGAAAACTATGTTAAAAAAATGCTACAGACAGCAGAGCCGACCCTTTAAACGACTGATGGCCCATTCATTATTATGGCGTTTCACATATTAGCTTAGCAATGTAGCTACAGCCGAGACATCAACAACAGCGCTTGTTTATCTGTTAGCTGAAAAACAATCATCAGTACAGGTTACACAATCGCGGGATATTTTTTTAAATGTGGGATGATTTATAGAAGATGTTTCGCTAATGACAAGATATAAAGCCACATTAGATTAGACTGATTGTTGTCCTGCTGTTATGTAAACAAGCACCGTGGGGGGACACAATATGCTGCTTCTCCGAGCTAGGCCGCAGGTTTAAGAAACACGGTAAGCTAAGCTTGCTAATGCAGTTAGCTGCTAGGACAATTCACGGAGACTATAACAACATACCTTTCACTTTCAGGTTTATTACTGGATTGCTCAATAACAGGCATCTCGGTTAAGTTTCTCTCTTTTTCTCTAACAAAACAATGACTATTCAAAATCGTCTGTAGGTTAGATTTAACCATCCGGCCAGCGTCCACACCAGCTGCTCGCTCTGTCCCCCCCTCTTCGCCTAATGCCGAGCGAGCTCGAGCTGAGCGCTTGGCAGGATGCAGTACTTGTGAGGGGCGTGGCCTGTGCCTCATGACGTGCACTGGGGAAAGTATGACGCAGTTGTTTTGGTAAATTTTAAATTCAGCGTTATGGCACACTTTAGTATGGAAGCCCATTTTCGCCAGTAAAAAAAAAATAAATGAAAATAATAAAGTCTCATAATTTCTCATTATTATGACTTTTTATCTCATTATTATGACTTTTATCTCATTATTTTGACTTATCTCATTATTATGACTTTATATCTCATAATTTTGACTTTTTATCTCATTATTATGACTTTATTATTATTATTATTTTTTTTAAGATTTATTTTGGGCTTTTCGTTCCTTCAATGCAGAGAGAGGACAGTGGACAGAGCCGGAAACCAGGGAGAGAGAGCGGGGGACGACATGCGGAAAGGGGCCACGGGCGGAAGCGAACTTGGGCCTACCGCTCGAGACGAGAGCCTCAACACATGGGACGCGCGCCCCTACCACCCCTATTATTTTCATTTTTATTATAATATTATTATTATTATTTAACTGGCGGAAAGGGTCTTCCATACTTTAGTTAGTATCAGTCACTTAAAAAAAAAGGTTGTGCCTGGGCTACTTAACCTCATGACACATTATAAAAATAATTAAAGTTCCTGTACTAAGAATGAATGCTCAATGCCGACAACCCCCATCTATATCTGACATAGCATGATAAAATTATGTGTTTTATTCTAAAATCGTATTTTCTTAATTGATAACGTTAGCTAAATAAATGATTAAAATGTTAAGTAGAAGTATGCCACAGCATTGGCCTCAGACAAGTTATGGAATAAAAGTAAAATTGGAAACACTCATGTCAATACCTTAAATTTGTGTCTCAGCATATATGACTATATTAACTTATTTATGTCACTTAACAAAACTTTCCTAAACTGATTTTATAAACACACTGTCGGTAGTTGTTAAACAGATCATCTTTTGTGTTACTCTTCAACAGTGTTAGGTGGTTGTCTTATCAAAGTTTCATGATGTAACTCTAAATACATACGCTAGAGAAAACAGTGTCAGTACACACTATGACTGCCCCCCCCCAACATCTTCCATCTGTGCCTGTCAATCAAATATAGAGTGCATGCTGTTTGTAACACTGTCTCTGCTAGCTGCAGAAAAGAAATCACTATCCATACAGCCACATAAACCTTCATTGGAGGGAAACAACTAAGGGGTCAAATCAGGTACGTCTCTTTTCTCTGTGCACTGGTTCTTGTAACATTGGGCTAAAATGTTTTAACCATATTTGTCTCTTTAAACCAGCTACAAATGCCTATTTTGAGCTGCAGCAATTTCCAGTCTGTGACTTACAGTAGCGTAAAAGACTGTTCACATGGCAGTGACTTCAAAAAGTGGTTTTCGGTTGTTTTTATGCATGAAAAAAGTTATTCATTTAAATTCACAGCTTCATCAAAGATCCGACTAAAACATCAACCTACAGGGGCTAAAAAGTAAGAAATATGTCATTGCTAAACAATCAAGTTCGTGAGTTCAAAGGTGACTTGTCCATGCATGTGACTCATATTTGTTCATCTGCAGTGTCTTATGAACGGATTCTCTCTATCGAGAATCTGAGTGACGTCCCAAATCCATGGAAGGGATTCACTATGAACCGCTGTATAGTGCTGGCACTGGTGGTGCTGCTGGTGAGCTCAGGGGTCAGTGAGCTGCATGGTGAGTACTATCATCTTACACCAGGGATGAATTCCTTTAGTGAAAATGACAATTAGGCTGTTTACATTATATCGACAAAAAGTATTATTAGTTCTGTTCCAGAATTGTTGAGCTAATACAAAGTATGTCCAGTGCATAGATACTTCTTCTTATAACAGTACTTTAGTGTGAAATATTTTCAAAGCCACACACAATAAAAAGTTTTTTTAGTAAACCATTTCTGAGTTTAAGTCAACAGGTGTTCACTGTTATAGTATTTTGTCTGTTTTCTAGATGCTATGGATTCTTTTGTTGAGGAGACAGGTATAAGGTCTTTCATTGGAAGTCTGCAGGATGGATCAATAACTCAGGTATTATTTGTCTATCATAATGAGCATAAGAACCCAACCCATTCGTTTCTATGTTAAGTCATACTGTTTTTCAAACTTATTAACTGATACAAAAAAAAGTAGTGCTTAAGTTTGTGTCAACATATCATGATGCCAAAACTTTTCCTCATCTTGATCTTGAAGTCTTGATAAAATGTTGAAATGAACTGAAATGAAATTATTTGGCTGAGAATCTTCTAATTACTTTAGATAGATAGATAGACAGATAGATAGATAGATAGATAGATAGATAGATAGATGGATGGATGGATGGATGGATGGATGATAGATAGATAGATAGATAGATAGATAGATAGATAGATAGATAGATAGATAGATAGATAGATAGACAGATAGATACTTTATCGATCCCGAGGGAAATTCAAAGCATCCAGTAGCAGGTTACAAAGACGTACATGACATGAAACATTTGTTACAAATTAAACCACAAAACCGATGCCCCCCTCCCATACAAATATATTAACCCGAAAAAAAAAGATTTAAGAATACCCTAGATGAATCTAAATTTGAATGGACAAATTTATATTTTTTATTAAGCTAACTTATTACTGAAAGATCATCAACACTTTCCTCCTTCAAGAATTTTTCTGTTTGTTTCTTAGTTATTTTTATCAGTTTACTCTTTTCCTTTTTGGCTTCAAATTGTCCTTCTACCTCTATGAACTTATTGCAATCTAGGTTTGTTTATCAGACTATTAGGCATATTAGATCAATGACTTAGCAATGTTCACCCAGAAAAAGTACATGTTCCTACATTTCTCTTGAACACATGTACAGAGCGAATGTAAGGTCAGTTGTCAATTGAAACAAAAGTCAGGGTCACTGAAAGATTTTAGGAATAACAACTGTTGAGGATGTTTTCACAAAGCCAAACACCTTAAGCAGTGCTTATGCTTTTAGATGAGGACAGACAATGTAATGTGTTGTGGTCAAACATAACAACACTTTGCAGCATCAAACTACAACAGTTTGTCATATTTCACACGGTGAAGGTCACATTCATCATGATCACTCAATCATTTGTTGATCGAAGTTTCAAAGATCTTAAAGCCGTAAATGGAGCTGACAAAGGATTAGACCTTAGGAGACATTATCACTTGTGTCTGTCTCTCTACTGCTGTCAGGCTTTTACAAATGGAAACTTTACAATATTGTATAGAATTGTTTCCTGATGTCAGGGTGCATTTCGATATTTCGATAGTCCTTGTAACATGCACACAATGTAAAGTCTTGTCTTTAGCTGAATAAAAATGTACTGAAGTGTTATAAGGAAGTGATGTATTATTTGATGATATTTTCTCTTTCTTCTTTAATGATGTATTAGTATCATCATGTTTGAAGAAATATATCTTTTGAACTGGACCGTGTGTGCTGTTTCTTGCTGTCTGCCTCCAGATTTCCATTTGGGACAGTTTGACGTGGTGGTGGGGATCTGAAGAAGTAGGAGCGATAAGAAGAAGAAAAAAGCCTATGAGCAACAAAGTCATTCTGAAACCCAAAATGAGAGACTGATGTGTATACAGCTGCATGAAGAAAAATGATGGTGGAAAACAGCAACAGGTTTCTGTGAGGAACACAAAGAAGTATTTAATATACCTTACTTTTATTAATATAAAGATACAGAACGTTACATCAATTTTCATACCATGATATATTTACTTTCAAATAACTTCTTGGATAAATACTTTTTTTTAACAGTGAGGATAATGTGTACATTCAAGACAAAGACAAAGACCTCTCGAACAATTCTGTGTCAATAAATGATAAGCTCTTGTGCTTGTGACAATGTGCTTTGTTCATCTACTGTGTAATAAAAACAATGTTTCAATGTGAAAGTACATAACTTAAAGCAACCTCTGTGAATAAATGTGTGCATTGACTACCAATCAAACCCTGTGACTAAATAAATTACATCTGAGCAATAATTCAATGAAAGTGTTTTTCCTCCTCCAAACATGCATTGATCAGAATTTTTACAAGATGTCAATAAAAACTGCTTCAGCGACACCCACACTCCTTTGCCACCACATCTGGTTTAATGGAGAGATAAGTCCCATGTTGGTTCAGGTCCACCACCTCTAGGTGTTCGTAGGCCAGAGGCACACAGCAGGGCGCCCTCTCGTCCACATTCTCACTCTCAATGTGGATGTTGAGAAGGATGGCGTGGTTGTTGCCGTTGACCAGGGGGAAAGCACACGAGCCATGGCAGTTGTTTATGTTAGCGGTGTTAGGACCAACAAGTGTCCTTTCAAGGGACACAGTGAGGCTCCTCAGCCCACATATGTTGCCACCCATTGAGTTGTTGTGGCCAGCCCTGGTGGAGCGCAGTTTTTTCTCCACCTCGTATGCTCGGGCCACCGTCTGCAGGGCCTTCAGCAAAAGGAATGCACAGTACTGGCTCTCTCCTGTAAAAGCAGAAGTGGAAACAGACGCTTCAGTAAAAGAAAGAACTGGGACTAACTTTCTCAAACTCAATAGCAACAAAACTGAAGTTCTCCTTGTTGGCTCCAGATCCACTCTGGCCAAGTCTGACATTTTCCCTGTCTGACGACTCCACAGTCCCTCCCTCCCCCTAAGTAAAGAGCTTTGGTGTCATCCCCGAAAGCAGTCTATCTTTTGAAGCTCACATTGATAATATTACTTCGTCAGCATATCTTAGTCATCTGGAACTCTCTCCCACAAACCATCCATGACATTAATTCTCTCCAAAAATAGTGAAAATAGTTACCTTATATGAATCTGATAGTTAGACTCATGTATGGACAAAGAGTTAAAATAGCTTGGAGTAATGTTTAAACCATTAAAATAGTTAGAAGTTTACACAGTTACCGGTAATAACTGGACAGGTGTGACTTTGGAGATTTACAAGATGGAAAAAGTCTCTTTAAGTTTAAGGTTGGACATGTTCAGGTCATCATCATAGTCAGAAAAAAAGTCTATAGAGCCAATGTCAACAGATATAAGGCAGAGACTTTAATCCTGGTTTAAGAATGCTGTAGGTAAGACTATCTCATTTTTGGTCATCTGTAAGTGTAACAACAACAATTTACTCAACTTACTGAGAACAAAAATAAATTCATACAAAAATAGTTAGAAGTAATAGATAATATTAAATAAATCTCTGATGGGGTTTGAATACGTTACCACAAATTCACAGATAAGTTAACTAAGTATTGGGACATTTAAATCCACTCAAATTGGTCGTCATGTGTAGGTCTTAACAGACCTGAAGAGTGACAGACCAATTGTGTGATATAAAGTTGTAACATCTATGTTTTAAAGTATAAATGCTTGAACAAGATCACTTTTTGAAACATTCCATGGGTGTCATTTAAGGGATTGTGGGAAAGAACCTGATAAAAAAAAAAACAGTTCAGGAAGATTTGCTTTATGAGACTATTTTCTTTCCGGCCACACATCACCTGCTTCTGGCTCCTTCTTCAGAAGTACACTGTGTTTTTTGAGCCTCCCAAGCCTCTCTGTGGCTTTGTGACCCACATCTTCCTCCCTTATTACCGCCATTATCTTCTCCACAGTTTGCTCCAACCTCTGCCTGAGCTCCTCAAGCAGTGCAGGAGACAGAGACAACTCTCCATGATGCACCGGAAACCTGGAGCTCCAGCTTGAGAAAGAGAAGATGGTAAGGGCAGAGGAGTTGATCAGACCTGCCAGCAGGGTCTCACTGGAGGAAAGTCCTAGTGTCAGAGGAGGTAGAGACTGTAGGGAGCCAAGCTGGAGCTGAGGGGAACCAGGATGGACCAGAGGCAGGACATCATCCAGAAACCGCTTCAGCTCGCAGAGGAAAGAGGAGGTACGTGAGGGGGTCATGGAGGAACCTGAAATGTGTGCATTTCTGACACAGAGAGTTAGAAAAAATACTCCAAATTACTACTCTGACAGTAGTGTGGAAAAATATCAACAAAAGGGGACTAAAAAGCAAAGTAAACCTTGTATCAGTTCCTCTTTCCCCAGAGAAAAGCAGAAGTGGAATCATGCAGTTGTTACTTCCTGATTGTCCACCAATGAGGATGTCTTTCAGCCTTTGCTCTGCAAACAGAGGAAATGTGAGGAGTGTGCTTGGGAAATAAGACATTTTTCTGTATCTTACTCATAATAATTCTTACTCATAACAGGGGAATAGGTCTCAGCGTTAATCCTCCATGTGTTGTGGACTTTGCCCTTTGATTCTTTTCCTGCCAGCATTATGTATTGTGTTTCTGCTGAAAGGCACACAGTCTACACAAGACAACAGGAAAGCAACACAAATATACATGATCAAATGATTTAGGAACATCAGGGCGACTTTTAATCATGCCTCACACTAAGCCTTTCCTTACCTGTGTGTTAGGATGCAGTGACTCACTCGTGAAAGTAGTATCCAGTTTTTCTCCTGCGAGGGGACTTTCAAAAGCTAAGAGCAACACAGGGCTTGGCTTGAGCAAATGAGAATGTGGGAGCTGGAAGGCCAACTTGAGTGATCCACTCTCTTCTCCTTCTAACAGCCCTGATGGAGAAAACAAAACATGCCGTAACATAACATCTAAACATACAATAAAACAGAAATGATTAGAGGACAATATTACCTCCAGATAGATCCAAAACCTTCAATCCATTTCTCTGGTTTCTTCTGACTTCCTTAACAAGATCTAACAACACAGAGCCTGATGTGTTGTCAGATTCTGTACAGATTCCAAACATAGTTAAGGTGTGATTTGGGAGTTCCCCATTGTGACCCACACCTTCACGTAATGCTGTGAATATATTGTCCACAAAGCACGGTGGGAGTTGAGGGGCATCTCTGGAAACTGTGGAGGCTGATGAGGTCCTTATTGATGCATTTGTTATTTGCAAACCATCTCCTGTCTCTGTGCTGCTTGATTTGGGATGATTTCCTTTCATTGAATCAGAAAATTAATAAATTACATTCCCAAGAGAGAAAGGTATTATGCTAAAGAGCTGGAAGAGCATGCAACCAATACAACTTGTGTTCAAAACATGCTTTTTGGAAAGCTATGAAAACAGTACTGCAACATAAAATATCAACAAAACTGCCCAAATAATGATGCACAAATTTTCAGGGGTCGAGTTTGTTTTAATTGTGCAGTCTGACCTGTCATTGTGGGGTTGTTTGGCAGGATCAAAGCCATGTAGAGCCTGGTCCAGCAAAGCATCAACGCTCCACAGTAGAACAAATCCACAACCAACATATTTCTCGGTCGGTTTGTGTTACTGTGTGGTCAAACGCATGAGGATGAGAGTTTTATCTTCCTGCGTTCCTTTCTCTGGGATCACGCTGCCAAAAAAGGAATATCATGTGTCCTTGATGATTTAGCCAGTGGACTCTATTTGAAGTGTTTCCTGTACAGAAAGATGCATTCTTAGGTCAAATAACAAGAGATGATAGGCGAAAGTCGGTTGTGTTTGTGCAGACACACATTAAACAGCCCTGTGTATATGTATATTATGGCAGCGAGGTATTGGAGGTTTTAGAATTACAGAGAGACTCCTTATAACTTTCTCATGAACCTTTCACTGTAAAAAACAAAGTATGCCCCAGGCTGTAAAGTGAGCGGTGTTGTTGTAATCCTTTTTGGTAATATATCAAAGACACAGATGAGTTAAAGTGCTGTCATTTAAAAAAAAAAAAAAAGAAAAAAAAAAGAGCGCAGTGAAGGGATCCCAAGCTAAAATACTTTAAGTAAAAACACTATCTTACGCAGCTTTAAAAAAAAAAGAAAAAAAAGTGCTGGCTAAACATCAAACTTTGTGGATTATATACAGGAGGCTACCCAGTTTAACAGCAGCTAGAAATCTGTATTTTTAAAAGAACATTGCAGTGACAGAATGATGCTCGACGTCAGGACACTAAAACTTTATCTCCAAAGTAGCTTTTATAGAAAAGTTCAACATAATGTTGTGATGGTTAGCTTAGCTTAGCATAAAAACAAAAAGTAAAGGGGAGGCAGCTAGCCTGGCATTTCAAGCCCAAAAAAAAAAAACACACAACAAAATGATCAGCACTTCTCAACATAATTATCTTACTGATAGTTCTTATTTATATAATAATCCATATAAAAATCCAAGGCTGCATCCAAAGCTTTTACTACACGTTTAAGGTTGCTCTTCGGGTTAAGGGCCAAATAATTTCTTTGCTGGATACAGTTACTTTCAAATTGTCACTGAGGATGCCAGACATCTAGTACAGACTTCAGGAAGTTCCCGTGCCCACCCAACAAATAGTCTGACTCTTTTCCACAACATCTAGGTGAAAGGTATCAGTGTTTTGTAGCAAATGTAACATGTTAAAAAGTAAGATTCACATGTTTTATAAGACTGTTTCTTCTGTCTTTGTTGTTCTGCACTAGGTTAACAGTTTCCCTGTTTTTAGCCTTTTAACTAAGCTTTGTGCTACCCTTAGCTAACAGGCTGCTAACTAGCTTTATATCTAATGGGCAGCTATAACAGTGGTAGCCTACTGCACATTTCTCACCTTAGTCCTTGACAAAACAGTGAATACGTATATTTTCAAAAGTGTTAAACATTATTTTAACAGAAAGCTTTTAAAGTGACTTTTACAGTCATGCTGTGCATTCAGTTTTCTAGTCTTATACCTCTCATTTATGCCATCATGTGTTTATTTGTGGCAGTTCACTGTTAACTTTCATTGTCAAACTGAGTCTTCAAACTTAATGGGCTCATTCATTGTGACACTTAGACCAGACACAAACAATAGACACTTTTTTTTTTTAATGAAAATGTGATTGCACAGTGCTGAATAAAATATCAGAGTGGTTATCCTAATGAATGTGTAAAATGTATCTGTTCTCATTCATGCAACAAAAAAAAAAAGTGAAAATAGTGAGAGGAAAAATATAGACAGAAGATCCAACTTCCTCTCCCATCACAACTCTCACAGCTGCCGTCTTGTTTTTCAGACAGTCAAGGTCTCTGGGCTGGTAAGTAGCCATGAGTCCCAAGAGATAAAGCCAAGAATGACGAGCACTGTTCATTTTTGTCCAACCTCTGCTACATGTTATCAACAAAGTGTTTTCAAGGACATTTCTTGGCAGGTAACACATCGTCCCATTCCTTGTAGACAACAACCTGGTGTTATATATCTGTGTATACTGTGGGAATCAAGTCTTGGATTAAAAATAAATTTAGAGACAGCCTCACTAACTCAAGTGAAAAAAAAAAAAAAGGATTTTGGAAGAGTCAATCACTGTCCATTAATGTCAAAGAAAACGCAGGGCCATGTTTGGACATCATCCTTGTAAGTATTAAAGTATTTATTAACATTTCATCCTTGGACTTTTCTAAGTATTAAAGTAATCATTAACATTTCAATATGTGGCTGCAGGTGAAAGCTTCAGGAATCTGAACAACAAAGAAATCATATTGATTTTGATTGTTCAAACTAATCAACATGGTTGACGTATTTTCCTACTTTGGAAAATTTTAAGCTCATTATAAAGGACATTGTATGTCTTAATGTGTTTGGTTTTTTGCTTGTTCAGCTTCAGATATTGACGATTACATTTCAAAATGAAACACCAATTGTGATAAAAAAAAAAAATTGTAAACTTTTTTTTTTATACCAGACATAAATATGCCACCACACACAACAAGCTCAGTTTAAATATTATAAGAAACATTTTATTATTAATCATAAAATGCAGGAAAAAAAAACATTAACTCCATTTGTTTCATTATAACATCTTAGGATAAAAGCACCAACACCAAACAGTTACAATTTTGTCATGAATACCCCCGGGCCTTTCGGAAAGTAGGTCTGCCGTTATTGCACCTCAAACCTGCCCTGGCTTCATTGATCAGAGATCACTATACACAAACTGTAGGTCACGTGTGTCCAGTGCTAGTTTACTCTGAAAATTACAGGAGCAATCCTAACAAAGGACAGTGAGCCTCCCTCTTACAGACACAGAAAAAGACGAGAGGCATTCATGAGATGAGGAAGATGCTGAAAGTCGTAGCCATTTTTAAAGCTTCTCACAATTTAAACCAACTCAAAGATTTTATAGAGCTGGATCTCACCGGACAGGCTGCATGTATGTGACAGTGAGAATTGCTTTGAGGAAATCTGACAAGACCACCAAGTAGTTTTTGCCTTGAAATTCACTTACTGCAGGGATTTACTGGTCCTGAGTTGGGTTAAAAAAAAGGGACTTCATAATGCCACAAGATGGGGAAAACATTTGTGACATGCAGCAGTTTAAATAAAGTTCTTTACATCATTTCAAGGGGAGTTCCTGAGTTAAGACCTTTGGCAGGATTAAGGGTAAACAGCCTCGAGTGCAAAGTGCTCACAGATTAACAATAATGTACCAGAATGGAGCACGCTGGAGATCTGCATAGAAGCTTTAACTCAAATCATGCTCATTTTCACCAAAGGACTTTAATAACAGCACCTCACCCCTTTGATTGATTGTACAAGAAGCTCTAAAACTGGTTGAAGTCTGTAATTATTTGCAATCTCAACCATTTCCAAAAACTATTGTCACATGCACATACACACAGCACCGCCAATCGAGATTAGAGAAACTTCCGTAGGTTTGACTGGTCCGTAAGAAAGCCATCAGGCAAGCTTGTGTTGAGGATTATTTACCCATAAAACCCTGCAGCAAACCAGGAGAAGAGTAGTATTGATCAATAGCTGCAATTTCCTTGTTTTAAGTGAAGGAGAGCACCGTGCTGTTTCTCTGACTAGTAGTATTATAAACTGACAGAAATCTGAAGACACAATTCAAAGCTCAACATGTAACTGCGATCGTATCAAACACCAAGAGTAAGAAAATCAAAACAGCATTAACAATAATTAAATAATTACAAAAGAGCTCTCAGTGCTGGTAACAAATAGACTCTAAGTATGTTCTAATATGAAGTTCTGCTTTTCACCTAAACACTTGCAGGTGAAACACACGTCTGCAGAGTGCACAGGACAGGACAATAAAGCTTTCATTATTAGTCTAATCTTCCCTTAGATATGCACCAGCTAGTGGGAAACAAAGCGCACACACAGACTAAGTGTATTCCCACTCTCAGAGAAAAAGGAAGCTTGGCTGCTCACATACACCCTAACACAAGTGTTTTTACATCTTTGCAATACACAAATGCTCACATTGCAAGGTAGTAGAGCCTTGCCAGTAAGACATCTAAAGACAGTATGTGTAAGAGGATCACATGTAGTTTTGTGTGCACCATTCGAGTTTGTAAAATTGGAATTGCAATTGTTTGGAAACAGAAGCACCATTTTTCCTAAAGAGTCTGGGTTGGTATAAAATAAATGGAAACTGATGTAAAAACATTGGAGAAGAGTGATAACGACTCTTCTCAAGCCTCCTGTGTGTGTGTGTGTGTGTGTGTGTTTCTAGTTCTGTTGTGTGCGTCACAAGGATTCAGATGCTGTCGTGTCACCGTGTTGTTGCAGGCACCATCTGCTAAGAGCCTGTGGCATCAAAGCTTCACACTCCTTGGCTTGGAGCCTCCTGTTTAACAGGTTGAGTTTAAGGTCACGACGCCAGCACCAAACTGTTCTATTCACTTATAGATATACTCGTATATATAGACTGTATATAGATACATTTATATACCTTTCTGTTTATGATGGAGAGACATAAAAGGGAAAACAAAGAGTTATGTACAAAAACAGTGTGTCTTGTTCTCGAACAGATGAGCAGCTGACTTAAGTTTTACACCTGCTGTGTGAGAAACATGAACGACACGTCTCCTCGCACTCTGACCCGGCTGTCACAGAGTAGTTTTTATCTTAAAGGTGGTGTCTACAGGTGTACAGTAGGCATTCAAAGACTCAGACAATAGCATTTTTAAATATGAGAATAGAAATGCCCCCATCCAACCCTAAAAAAAAACAGCTTTAAAAATGTCCCTGTGTACAGCACCAAGTATTCCATTTGATTTTGATGTTTTCACTGCAGAATAAATAAGATCAGGAACAGTCCAAATGTAGCACCATTGTTTTCAGACTGTGAGTCAAGTACACACACTATTGCATTCTACTATGTCAACACATTTCTGGATTTAAAAACAAAACAAAAGAGAGAAAAAAACCAAAAACAAGGCAAATTAAAAGACTGACAGCATAAATATAATCATCTAAATTATACACATCTATACAGAGAATGTATCACATTCACAGTACAAACATTGTTTACAAAAAACAAACAACACATTACAAAAAGCAAACAAAAAGGTGTGAAGGGTCCAGTAGTTCAATGTGGTTATGGTTCATTGTTTCTCAGTGTGTGAGGAGTTGCATGCATGAGTGTGTGCGTTTGTTTGAACTTTAACACAGTATTAGTCCGCAAACGTGTGTCAACACTCGAGTCCCAAGTATTTACTTAAAACTGGATTTCCCGACAGCAGAGATAAATACAAACAAGATTAGCTTAAGAGTTAAAAATTCC